TGGTAAAGGTCAGGAGAATAAAGTAAATAATCACTAACTTGAAAAGCTCTTGATTGTTGACCAAATTCTGCTTGTCAGCACCATAGGAAATATGTAGATAACAGTATGGAGAATATCCATTCTGATGTTGGGGTAAAAAGGTTTAAACAGGTCCATAACCTCTCAATTTTATGACAAACCAATTTTTTCTTTGATTTACAGGAACATTTCTTAGTTCCAGATCATACTATCACAGACATAACTGGAGCGTCATTTGCAGGGTTTTATTATGTTTGTTTACAAAAATCAGCCGCCACCATTGAGGGTTACTACTATCACCGAAGCTCTGAATGGTTAGTTCAACTTTTTTTGTGTTCCTATTGTGCTTGACAGTGTATTTACTCTTGCATTTTGGACAATGAAAAAACTGAAACACAACTTGTAAAAGCCTTTCAAAAAGAAGCTTTCTATTTTTTATTCCCAGAAAGTTTACTTTTAAGACTCAACTTGATGTCAGCCGGATTTTCCAGACTCATTTCCAAGCATGTTTGTTTATGGGTTTAGATATTGCTTTGTTTTTGCATGACTTTGCTCTGTGATTGGTCCAGATTAGCTGTGCCATCCTTTGAACCAATGAAATGCAAAACTACAACTAAATACAACTTGGTGGCTTCCAGCTCTGTAGGCAGTTTGGTTGGTTTTATGTTGAGTTCTCATTGCCCCAAAGAACATTTTTGTTTCTTGTTATTACTTTTGTTTTGGTTTTTCAACACTGTATAAATTGTAAGATTACCTAATTCCACCTTTCCTTCCTTTCCAGGTTTCAGTCCTTAAATCTTGTCCATGTTCCTGATCACAGTCAACCCATTTATGAATTCAGATGATATTGAACAAGAAAACAAATCTTTATACTCTTATATGCTTCTTAATGAATATTTTTAGACTTCCTCTGGCACTTCCATGATGATATTATGATTTATGCTTGGTTTACAGCTCAAGTCAGACAAGCTTAGTAGATATTTTCCATAAAATCAAAATAGTGTTTGAGGTTTACATTCAGCATGCATGGTGTCATGTTGTAAAGATTATCGTCCAGTGACAAGTTATTATCACGAAGAGATAATGATACCTTGGCAGGTGTTTGTTTTCTGTCTTGTTGCAAATAGTTATGGCATACACAGCTACACATAGAATGTGAATTAAATTATATGCAGCTGTTTAATTTGATTACTTAAATGAGAAGATTGATCAAGAATGTTATTTCTTTTAATTAATCAGCACTACTACTGCATACATTGTAGTGTATTTCGAAGAATATTTGGAATGAAAAGTCAAAAATTGGTTGTGTTGTTGCCATCTATTCCTTTGTTTGGCACCTCTGTATTGAAGAAGTTGAGTACAAACAATCCTAGGTGTTCCCTGGAAGGTTCTCGGTACTCTCTTATGTATATTTTCAGAGATTTATCAACAAAATTCACAATCAATTTCATATTGCCAACTTGATGACACCACAAGGGTATGTTTGTCTCTATATTGTCAGAAAAATGACCAATTAATTTATGATTTCTTTTTATAGTTCTTATTGACAAATTGATACCATTAGGGGGATAAGGAGTACTTTTACAGGGAGTTCCAACCATATCCAAAAGGGGATTTTGTGCACATCTGGCTGATAAAGTTAAATCTAATCAAAGGGTTTAACCCTTATACTCTTAGCAGTGATTAACATGTAACTTCTCCCTGTGATATTCATACATTGTCCACCAAACATGAGGATATTCAAACTTATCAGGTAGAGGTTGGTGGTTCTGATTTATCACTAGATTCTTGGGACTTATTTACAAGGAAATGTGTAGCAGCTAGAGAGGAGAATTGATAATCAGATCCTGGGAACTAAAGGGTTAATGTGACCAAAATCTCATAGATCTCTTTCTCTGTGTGTTGTTTTATGTTTATACTTAGCAAAGGAGTATTAAACCTCTTTTTCATGGTTTTAATGGTTCAAATAATTGTTTTTAGATTACTAATATTAAGAGCTACACATACTGAGAATTGAAAAGTTTTAAATTAGCTTGATGGCTCTTAGAAATTGAAGTACCTTCTTATGTTACAGCATGCTCTGTACAATAAGCATTATTTGAGTTAAGAACAACTGAACTTTGTCTTTGTACTGTAACATGTTAGTATCAACTTTTATTTATATTCTAGTCCTTTAGAATGTTAAGTGCTAAGTGATGGTTGAAGTATTACTATAAATTCATCAAAATTTGTGATATCCCCCAATGAGTTGCAAATATATTAAAAGTACTGCAGCCCTCCACAGAGTATATACAGTTATCATTATTACTTGCATTCCTCACAAAGAGGTTCTACCCCCCACAGGGTCTCAAAGTGTTTGTTGGTTCTAAGACTCTGCTTGCAAGAGATAAGTATACTCGTAAGGGATCAATATCAGTATATGGGTAACAGCCCACCTACCCCTCCCCTAACTCAACAACAGTCAATTGATAACAAGTTAGGGTTAATGTTGGGTTAGGGGAGGGGTAGGTGGGCAGTTGCCCAGATACTGATATTGATCCCTGGTAAGCTTCAGGGTTTTGGGAGTGCAGGAAGGGAGTGAGATTCAGAATTGTAAATGTAGGAATTTTCAAGGCAGTCACCCTCTAGAATAAAAATCTGAGAAGCAGAAAGTGCAATTAAAAAAAAAGACAACAAATTTCACAAAGACAATTCCGAAAAAGCTTTTGAGGTTGAGTGGTTGTGAAGCACCATCCTCTGTAGCCACAAGGTTAGGTAGGTAACCTCAAAAGGTCTGGCGTGATATCACAAAGGTTGCCTTTTCTTCAAAACTAAGAAATTTGCTCCAATATCAAAGGACCCACATTTTATTTTTTAGATCTTGTAAAGGTAACACAATTATCATAAACTGCTATCATATGATTAATTTCAAATTACTTCCTCTTTTTATTTTTTCCTTTAATCAACTGAAGCCCTAATGGTATATTAAATACTCCTACCAACTTGTTACTATTTTAGCGTCAAAAAAATATTTCTCTCCAACTCAGTTGGGTTGGACTGCTCTACTTCCAAGAGACCTCCCTGAAGGAGGCTGGGTTCATCTCCTACATAGTCCCTAGTTAGATAGCCTATACCTTGCTATTCTACATCATAAAGTTTTTTGTCAGTCATTTTTTAATGACTACAAAACTCTTTTAATGTCACAACAAAACAAGTGTCATGGCTGCTCTATTTATGGTTGTGAGAGAGGCATGTGGCAAAGTGGTTATTGTGAAGTGTAAGATTTGGGTCCAAGCCCTTATCATCTCCATTGCATTTTATTTTTAGGCTAGAAACTTTTTCTTTTGTCAGTAGTAGCAGTCATAACCTAGGATTATACTTATTGTTTCAGGAACAAACTACTAGCACTGGAAGACTTCAGTATAGTAATGGTTAAAGAGAAACCCTTCTGAAACTGGAACTTACAATATCTGGGTCTCCAAGCTGATAACTGATACACATATCATTGCAGCTGCTGGCAGTTGGATGTCAAACTGGATGCAAAGCAATTAAATAAAACCTTGTTAAATAGCATCTAAAGTTAAGTACATGAGTAAAAGCCAACTACATTTAAGCTAAATCTTGTGTATTCTTTACACAAGTTCTGAGGAACTTGTCTAATAATTAATATCAATTTAACATGCATTATTTTTTACACATATTTACTCTAATATAATTTAATCATTTTATTATATCTTGCTCATATTTGTTTATTTTGTGTAATATATAATTAACTACTTATCTCCTTTGCAATACGTTATGATGCATTAATATTAGTCGATTCATTCTACAATGTAAACAATTGGATCTTACAAGTTACTAAAAAAAAACTTTACTGAAAAATACAGTTTTGTTAAAAAAAAAAGAGTCACAGTTTTCAGAAAAAAATATCCACATTGGTAAGGGAAATCCTTTTAATCATATTCTGCGCCAATAGTAATGCTGAGCTCTCCGGGCAAAACCTTTGTTGAATGATACCACTGGTTTGTGTCCACAATGACTGCAAATTAAAACAGGATATTTTGTATACTTTAAAATTGATTTTTAGATTTTGAAAAAGTGAACCCCATGAATATTCAATATCATCAAAGGGAAAATTGTTGTTTGGAGTGGGTTTTTCAGTGTTAAAATGTAACAGAATTACTAGTTTTAATTACGTTACCAATATTATGTTACCAATTTAAATTTTTTGTGGGGTTGCAGGTTTCAAATACCTGAATTTTCTCTCAGTGTACAACGGTATAAGAGTCAAAAAGGAGGGTAACATTTAATATATCATAAAACTGGTGTACAATAAGCACATGCAGGAAAAAATCAGTTTGACAAGACCAAATAATAAATAAATTTTGTACCAACAAACTTGCAAACTATATATATATATATATAAAACAGTATTACACATAATTGTATAAAAAGTCCAGTAAATGCACAAACTACAAGAGTGATCAAAGTAAAGTATTTGTAGAGGTGGTATCAGATTTCATGCTTTGTTTCCACCTTCATATAATCTTTGTGGTCATTTGCTGTTTCCTCCTGGACAGAAAAAAAACACAAGACTGTGTTACTTACTGACTTCTCCTTTATTCATTGTGGTGGCTAATTTGGGAGTACAGACATGTTCACACTCTGGTGGAGGGATGAGAGTCCATATCTTTTGTCCTGACAGCTGAGCTTGCCATGATGGACGATCCACGCTATCAATCTTCAAAACAGAAAGTGTTAACATTATGGTCAATAAACAAGGCTGAATAAATTTTCAAAACTACAAAAGCACCTCAGTAATAAAGAGACGAGTCTATTTGAAGCCATAAATAATGGAATTTAATACTAGGGAAGTTTTTGCAGAGGCTCCACAGTATCTGCGGTAACACCTCCTTCTAAAATTTGAAACTTCAGAAAAGTCACCATTGTTAATGGTAATGCCACCTTACGAAGAATGGATGAATGGTTCCTACCCTGATTAAGTATACCATAAAGTATACGGCAACTATTAGTGACCTAAACACGACTAGAATTTAAACTTTTTACAAATTACGTATAAACATTGACAGTGAGTGTAAAAATCATCATAAAGTTTATTTTTAAAGTAAGAAACATAATCAGAGTTGTACATTAGAACAAATACAGGTAACCAAGGATAAGAATAAACTCACATGTATCTGAGCCCCAGGTCCTGGCCCTCCCATGAAAATCCAGTCCTGTTCACTGGTTTCTGATTGTTTTGGCAAGAAATATGGTAATTGATAATGAGTGCGCAATTCTTGTCTGATTACAGGATCACAGTTGCTCCTGAAAACCAAAGACATACTGCTGATAAGGTTCAAGGTTCCTGTAACAGGACAAACTAGAGGGGAGCAAAATCCGAGCCAGTAAAAAGAGCCCTCTGTCAACTTTTGGGAAATACTGAATCAACAAGACCTATTTACTTGAAAATTTATCAATATCATACACTCTCAGACAAATTCCACTTAAGTAACTCACATCTTGTCTGCTTGGGTAGCTGATCAGAACACATGATTTTTTTTGTATTGCTAGCAGGTAATCATGAAAACTGCAACTTTCAAATATTCATGCTGTAAATCTGATGAACAAAATGTTCTTTTTGAGTTTCAAAATGAAATGTTGTTTTAAAGAGCTAGGTAGCAAACCATATGGTGCTTAAAAGTTAAATTAAAATTTTTTTCAATTTTATTCTTTATTGTCCTCCAAGACAAACAGAACTTGTATGCTAAGTTGATAAAGTGCCGAGCCAATTCCTTTCAAATGAAAGAAACGACTAGATCAAGTCTACAATGCTTGGAGTTCAAATTTTAGCAAAAGGTAACTCCTCAGGCAAATTCACTTCCAAATAGCCTTATTGTGATTATAGTTAAGAAAAACAGTTCTTTGTGAAGTAATGGATACTGTTTTGATATAACATCAAATTTTAAGACTTACCTAAACATACTAATGATATCACACCAAGAAAACGTATAGCAGAGAGAAAGGACAAATTAGACAGTCAGATGTGCTACAGTCCATTACAATTCCGAGGAAAATAAGACACGAATCAATGAACAGGAAGCTAATTTCTCTGACTTAATGAAGGCTGTTAAAAACGAGTCCATCAGTAATTGGGTTTATATCCTGTGTTGCATTAAGAAAAAAAAATTAACGATGAAATCTACCTTAATGGAAAAACGAAAAGTACACAAAAAACTTTAAAAATTAAAGTAGTGTTACTTCACATCATTTTAGTTCACCATAAGTAGTTTTTTTTTTTACATGGAAATGAGTATAAACCTTTTAAAACGACAGCTGCCTAAATGCAGCAAGAAATTTTACTTAACCATTCGACAGGTGTTCAAACTATACTCACTGGGAGATCAAAGAGCACTGAAAATCTGACTTTAAAATTTTTGTTTGATTTGTCAAAGAACACGGTTAATATTGAATTGAAACAAAATATGTCACCATAGTCACGTACCAGCTGCCCAGGTTAAATATCTAATTTGAAAAATCAAATGGCTATTCTAACATCAATATACTCGGCTGCTTTCAACTTCAATCGTATTGTTCGATGTTATTTTCTTACATTTTAATTTCAAAACTCACCATCCGAAATACCATGGTTCTGCTTTCCACTCTGATCTTTCTTTCGACATATTCATGGCCTGTTCAAGAGAAAAAAAATCAGTTCTGTAGGGAAAGAACTGACACTCCTCCTCGTTCACTCGATACGCGTCTTTGTTCTTGTCGAAGAGTTCTTTAAAGAACGTAAAGTTAAAGCGATCAATGGCTGACCAATTTTTCGCACCGTCGACGACTACGACGGGTCTTCCGGTGTAGGCATAGTTTGCAGCGAAATCTTGCTTTGATAAGCCAGAAACCCGAGGAATTTCGGTCAGACCTTCGCACAACAGAGTGCAGTTTGTTCGTTTTCTTGTGACCTCGATGAAAATTTCATTGACGTTCAAAAGACACGGTTCTTCTCTAACATGCAGCAGCTCGATCACGTCGAAGTAGTAACCAGCAAAAGCCAAAACAACAGGTAGAACAACAATCACGAACCATTTCAAGCTTTTCTTGTTAAAACAACTCGATTGTGCACGACCAGTTCCGACCTGCCGTAGAAATTCTGTTCGAATGTTATCCACATTTTCACCGCTTTTCAATGATTTTTCGCGGAGATCAGAAAACAGGACGGCAAGTTCTTCGACACGCGTTGCAGTCGCCATTAACAGGAAGGTAGGAAACGTCAGCTTTGTCTGTAAATTAATCTTCTATTTACCAATGCGTAGTCTCACTTACACATCAAGCCGCTACATCATAAATATTGATCAGCAGATCACAGCCTGAATGGAAGAAAATGAAATTGGGTTGTTTGCATACAATAGGTAATTCCATTGCGCGACCTCGATTTCCTTGTTACCAGTTTCCAGACTGCTTCTTTATCACCCACCCCTGGTGCTAAAAATACTCGAGAGCAATCTCGAAATGCATTAAATTCACGTTCTTTGCCATCTTCATCATCGTAAATTCGCCACCAAAGCGAATCCTTTTTTATCAGAAGCGTCTTGGAGTAGATTCTGTCAATATCCGTGTCACCCTGGTTTTCACCTTCTTGTCCTATCTTGCTCTAGATAAGTTGAACTCTAGAGCAGGAGACATTAATGGGCTCCTGTTTAGAGTTAATATGTACGAAGGCCTGAAGGCAGAGACAAGCTGTTCAGACATACTGTTGCCTACGAATAAGCCCACTTAATTAGTACTGAAAGATTTCTGTTTGGCACCGCACTAGTCTAAAACAAAGGTATACTCCCGAAGGTAATCTATTTTTTCGCCATTTTTATCTTTATCATGGCAAGAAGCTACGGAGTATTAAATGATCCGGGTTTCTAACTTGAAGGTGAAGAGACGATTTTGCAAGATTAATTACTTCAGCTTGAGCAGTTGCCCATTAGCCACAGGCTAATTTTAGTTTTATCATGGTGTCGATCAGAATATCTCATGTGGATTGCGCGATGTCGACTAGAAGGCCAGTAGCGAGTGAATCATGAAACAAATTACTCAATCAATTTGTCAAATTTTAACCACTTTTTATTTTGGAATTAACAGTTAACATACACAGTCTGTAAGTAGACAGTGAAATAAGGTTTTACATATTATTTTAATAACATGATTGATTCACTGATACACTTGCGTTAAGTTGCAGTTGTTTATAACTCACGGATATTATTTCGCCTCTTACCCCTTACTGGTGTATGAAATAAAACAAGTTTAGAACAAAACATCAGTCGTATTCTGCTCCAATTGTGATGCTCAATTCTCCAGTGGGAATAATTTTCGTGGAGTGAAACCACTGGTTGGTGTCCAGGACAACTGAAACAAAAACAAAAAATGGTTCACCTAAAAAGTTCACACACCCACACACGACCGGCAAGAAAATTTCGAAAGGAGCTGGCTACGAAATTATGCACTGAATAATTTATTTGAAGATTATCAAGAATCTGGCCTGCTATTGTTGCGATTAAACCAAAAAACTCAAATCATTTTGAGTTTGTTCAGCGTGTTTCGGGAGCAAAATAAAATAAATTTTTGCTCTTCCGCATTTAGGCCTGTCCCGACTGTACTCGTAAAATGCTGGAAAGTTGCCCACTAGAATGCCAAAAAGTTACTAAAAAAAATTCTAACCAAATTTCAAAAGCTGTTACCTAAATTTCTTGATATTTTTATATAAACCCTAATTAAAGACTTTATTTTTCTTTATTCACAATAATCGCTGACAGTAAACGGTTAAGAAAATTAGCTTAAAAGAGTTGCTCTTAAATATGGGCGACATTTAAGGATACTCCCGCCGAACGTCATTTTAGCCAATTATCTGTAATAAAGATCGCAATAAGAGGGAAACGTTGTCAAGTGACAGGTTATGTATTAATTATTTTTTCGATGAAATCGGCGACTTCAGTTCGTGCTTTATATGTGCTATAAACCTACATTTTTCTCAAAAATTGCTCAGAAAGGCAAAAATTGCTCTGAGTTGCTAAAACCACAAAAAGTTGCTCCAAACGCCAAAACTTGTTCAAAAGTTGCCGAGCACGATCGGAACAAGCCTACCCACGTTTCCTCTCGACTTACTGATTTCTCCTTTCTGCATTGTCACTTGTACTGTCTTGCAGACGTGTTCACACTCTGGAGGAGGAATAAGGGTCCACATCTTTTGTCCTGACAGCTGGGCCTGCCACGAAGGACGCTGCACCATGTCAATCTATGTTTATGAGACAAAATTTTGCGTAGGTTACAAGCCATGATGATGCGTACAAGTTTTCTCGCGCACTTTGCATCTGTTTCTATAGAAAATATCAAGAAAATACCAAGACTCCTTTCTCCGATGCTTCTTGAAAATCCTTGGAAAACAGCGTTTTCCAATGATTTTCAAGTCGGTATATCCGTCACGGTGACCTGGTTTCGTGCGACTAATCACAAGCAAATAAGCGATACACTGGTACTCTAATTTCATCCATTCCTGATGAATATGGGACTTCTCCTATATATTTCATGCAGACTGGCTAATGCGAGTTTTATATCACCAACTCCAGTTTAAACTTAGCTTGAGAAGGGAATGGGACCAGTAATGCTCGACAAAACAGTCAAATCATGATATGATGTGACGAGTTTTACAAATCCATTTTTGAATAAATTAGTCAAGAATTATCATTCAACCAGCTCCCCTCCTTCTGGTAAGCTACAGGTTTGTATGGAGCGAAGAAGCCGAATGCGTTTATTTCTTCTCTGTAACTTGTCAAATTTCAAAACTGCATGAACAATTATTTGAGAAAAAAAAAATGATCTGCAATCGAACCTGTATTTAGCGGCACCGTATCAAACGGTCGGTTTTCAAAGTCCTCCACCTGTACTGAAGGCTCACTTAAAGCAGACCACTCAAATAAACTAAGAATAATCTGTCAATGCATTTTTATCCATGTTTATCTCCGAAATCAATGTCAGAAATATCTTTGAGCGAGTATTTTGTACATTAAGTCAACCATGGCGTAAAATGGCGTTTTTCATCGTTCTTTATAAAACTCCTCTTCTGCGAAACTGGTCAACCTGTTAAACGATCACTCTGCAACTCCTCACTTAATACAAGCCCGACTGTATTCCCGATTTGAGAAGGTTTTGTCACGTGATACTTACGTGTATGGGCGCACCAGGTCCAGGCCCTCCCATAAATATCCAGTCTTGATCGCCTGTCTCCGCGTCATGTGGTATAAAGTAAGGTTTGTCATAGTATTTGCGCAATATCTGACGGACATTGGGATCACAATTACTCCTGTAAAAAAAAAGAGAGAGGCATAATAACACTATTATGGTCTCTTTGATCACTTGAAACTCAACCCTTTTTTGAGGATAATTTTTTAAATATCGTTGTTATTCATTGGGTTTTTTTGTGGTCACTCTTGTAATGAAATAAATGACGAAGGACTGGGGAAGGAATTGCCCTACCCCGTCCCCTCTCCTTCTTTTTGACCGCTGCTCATCCCCTTTATACAAATTTCTTTCTCTCCTCAGCCTTCCCAGACGGTGGCAGCTATATTTTTCACCAAGGTAACACTGAACACTCGCCCGCCAAAATTACGCCTGCTCTGCGGGCTATTCTCGTCTCGATCAACTGAACTGGAAACGACTCTGAGGCGTGACGTCACGGTGAGAAACATTTTTCAGCTATTTGGAAAATGCCCCTATAATTTCTCTGAATTATCAGCAAAAATAATTGTGACAGGCCGAAAAAGCTTTTAATTTTTAGTAGTATTTTATCCATCAAAGTATTTTGTCCATCATGAGAAAGATGTGATCACGATGACGGAAATCTCTCAACTAGGTACGCATTTGTGACAGACCAATCACTGACAATGTCTATTTGAGGGAGAGGCCGGGGTAGACAGTGAAAAAATAAGCTATCACATATCGCATGCACGAAATGATGATTTTGATTCAACAAATCTACGAAGGTTGAATCAGTTTGATTTCCCCGGTAAGTGCACTACCCATATTTATGAAATTTGAAAATAACTTAAATCATTTTAATCTTCATCATGTATCTTCCACACTCCAAGGAGCCATACTTACCAGCCAATATACCACGGCTTCCCTTTCCATTGTGCCCTTTTATTTGACATTCTTAAAGCATCTGCTAGAGACTGAAAACCGGATTTGTAGGCGAAAAACATGCATCCCTCGTCGACGTTATCTAAATCTGCCTCATCACTCTTAGCGTAAAGGCGTTTGAAAAACTTGAAACTGAACGCACCCACGGCTGACCAGTTTTGTGCAGCATCGGTAATAACCACAGGTCTTCCTGAATATGCGTATGTGGAGATGAACTCCTCCTTAGAAAGATTAGAGACCCGTTGTATTTCATTCACGCCTTCACAAAGCAGCGAACAGTTGGTTGGTTTGCGCGCCATCTCGTTCAAAACCACGAAATCTGGCTCAATGAGGCATTTAGAGTCTGGGTTGTATTCCAAAGTCAACTGACACAACAACAAAGCGATTGCGGGCAGGATAAGAAACCAAATTATCTTGTTCCATGCGAAAAAACTGCTTTCGTTTTCTTTCGATTGAGTTTTTGGAACTCGATGAACATCTCGCAAGAACTCCCATCGAATATTTTCAATAGATTCTCCGGATCTGATGCATTTTTCTCTCAGCTTGGAGAATCGGAAGGCTAGATCGTCGACTTTTTTCGAATCCGCCATGAAAGATCGTCTCTCTCAGTGGGGATACTTGAGTGACCAATCCATACTAGACTCATACCATAAAAGGGCGATATTGGGTTAAGGTTTATTAAAACTTACATAAATAGCTCTCTCTCAGAATGCAAATATTTTTCTTACGTCTTTCTTTCTTAACTTGTAAACAAATTTTTTAACCAGTGTTTGGTGTAGTTTTCACTCATCCAACTACATAGAAATAACACGAGATTACCTACATTCCATTTAACACAATTATCTCAGGTTAGATCCGTTACGTTTTGCATGAACACGTTTTCATAAATTCTCAACAAAAGTTTATTCTGCTAAGGTAACAAAAATAGATATTAATATTGTTCATCTGTTTTCTGATTATTTGTCGCAAAACATCCAAGCTCGAGGGACATGCGCTGTAGCAATAAAAAATAAAACGGTGGGAATCTAAAAATATGTACCATAAGTGAGGTAAGATAAAAAGAAACGGAGATTATTCAATACAAACGTTTTAACTGTCTTTGGCAAAAAAACATGTTTTTTATCAACGAATATCTTGGAAACGGAGTTCTGGCGTGATCAATTGGCAATATGAAGTCACAAGGAATGCCCATTGTCGGCCCAATATCGGATACTTATGTATCACAATATTGGGAGCTAGTGTCAATAGCCGGAAGCTGTGGGTGGATAAAATTATTGACAGATTGACGTATATAAAGTACTATGACAAAGCCAATATATGCACGTCTTATATTATATAAAGGAAGGAGGTATACCATACAAAAACTCCTCAGTATTCTTATCATTCAAGTCTATCATTGGTAAAATATTGGTTTTCCTTTGAACAAGCCAGGAGAGCGGGTGACCTTACTTAAGTGTACGAGGGTGTCATTATTGTTATCGTGCGTCATGCTTGCATGCCTAAAGTATTGTTTTGAAGCTTCCCAAACTTGAATTACAAGGAATAATTACGTCAATTTTGTGGAAACAGAACAGTGAAGGGTAAAGTGCAGAGAGGGGAATAAATTTTTCACTTGTTTCTGAATTGAGACTTTCTTTAAAGATACTTTATCTAGAGAGCTTTTGTTGTAGGTCACAAGTTTGTTTAGACTGTTCTACTTGTTTCTTTTTCTTCCCCTTGGCACTGTTGGCGACAAGATTATTCAACAGCATCATAACATAACCGGCACAATCGGGGTAGCATGGTGCTGAAAGAAAACCTGACGTGGGTGTGGCCGTAATTATTCAAATCGACTCCTCAGACTCCCGCAAGAGGAGATTTATTACTTCTTGAACGTTCGGTATTTGCTTCGTTAATATTTTAATAAATAATTTAATCCACCTGAGTTATTAAAGAGGAAACCCACGCACGCTGGCGCTGACTGAAATACTGGGTTTGTGACTGAGGTCAATCTTCAGGTTCCATCACCTTGGCTAAAATTCTACCCGCGCTCTAGGTTATGAAGACTGCGATCCCAAAAAAATATAACGATACTCTCTTTCCTCGAAATGAATGGAAAAATGACAGGAAACAAGTTCCAACTTTTCCTTTTTATCATTAAATCATGATAAAACCAAGTGACACCTCCATTGTATCTACAGCCTGAGAATATTTCATGCTTCAATTAAGACTCAATGAAGAGGCAGATCTCCTAGTTTGTTAACTTTTTGAGAAAACACTACCTGAAACTGAGGTTTCTGTTTGATAATCACCTCTTGGAGAGTGCTTTTAGAGTTATTCTCGTAAGGATTTCGGTAAAAAACAACTTCTAATTTTATGGTACAATTTCAACTAACTCATATGATTACTACATCATTGTCTTCACATCTTTCGATCAATCTTAGTGCTCTCAGCCGATCAAAACCCTAGTGTTTTTACACGTGCAGTTTATGTCTTGGCCTCTCAAGAGGAATCTTGATTCTGGGTCAATCTTCCTCTAAGGCGTTCGTCTACTCTAGCAAAAAAATTACTCTAAAGTTCTCCTCTAGTAACAAGAAAGTGCCTTGTTGCTATGTCGTAAGGAAGCTCTATAGAAATCGATAAATGTTTGCGCCTTGTTTAAATTTGAAAAGTACCTAAATCTTTAACGGGAAAAATCTGTCTTCAATTAACAGCATATGAGAATACTTTTAAAAATTTTCATTGAAAAATGATCACTTTTTAGGATCTCATCCAAAGTGTTACATCGAAAATACTATTACCAAGGTCGTTTTAAGAAAAATGACTGATCAACTTTGCAGGAAATGAGCAATCCATTCTAAATTCTCCGTCGTCATTCTACTTACTTTGCTCCTATGCTTTGCACAATAGAATTTGTTTGGAATCATGTTTTGTTAATTATATTTGACAGTAACAGCAGTGGCACTGTTATAACTAAATTGCAAAAAGATTAACAAGATTTACAAACTACAAAGACAATGGCCCTTTTCTCAGTAAAAAATCCAAATATCTTCTTCCTTGTCTTCACAAAAAGCGTCAACAATGTCTCCGTTTGACCTGAGCTCTGTTACGGTGCAAGAAATTCGCCTAACAAGGTGATATCATCCATCGAAATTCCAAGAAAAACTTCAACTATTTACAAAATTACTATGACCTATCCACACAACGAACGTAAAATTTGCTTGAAACGAACTTTCCATTCCAGATCCTCTTGATTTGTGTCTACGGTATGGATAATATGGTACAATGGTGTCGTGTTCTAAAGCGTTGTCATGATGATGGTGGTGCGATTTAATAAGGAGCATATCTGTAGCCTGTGCTGTAACTAGACGGTGGGGCCTGGGGAGGCGCTGCTGTACGGTATGCGGGTGCAGGGGCTGCGTACGTGTTTGGCTAGAAAGGAGGAGAGATGGTAGATCATGTTAAGCAAATCTCTCGAAGACAAATTGTCCCTATTTTATTATTTTAAGGAGCTACAAAGAATGCTGAAATTATAATCAAACCAACTACAGTTTGAACGAAAAAGAAGTGAAAATGATTTAAGATGCAACCCTACATCACACGCAGCCAGAAAGGGATGTAAATTATAAATTGAGGATGTCACAAAGCCACGTGTGGATACGAATTTTGTCTTCGAGTACTGACACTATTTCTCATGAGTGAGCGAGGCGAAGTTGCGGAGAATGATGTTCCAACAACAACACAAAAACGAAGCAATTTTTATATCCAGAAAAGAAAAACACAATCGCCGTGTCAATAAACACGGTTGACATGACGAAATAATTATCTTCGCATGTAAAGATATAAAGAGTACATTGACTACAAGCAATGAAGATAAAATGCTTTCAAAACAAGATAAATTCTAATATTTCATAAACATCGATATAATAAGTAAGATATTTACCGGACCATATCCACCTCCGTAAGGCGCTGGCTCATATCTGGCGAGGAATACACAGACAACATAAATAAATTCACGAAAAAAGGCAAGAATAAAGTGTGAGACAAATTAACAAACATCAAGAGCAAGATGAAGTTTTACCCAAAACTTCCTATTCTCCTCGCAGCATATGTCTGTTCATATCCATCATAACTTCTGAAATGGTGAAAATAAAAACCAAACATTTTATCTTTGCATTAAGGGTAAAAACACCCGCTAAATTTGCAATACGACTGACAAACCGAGGACACTAAATCATTACAAAGTATACTCTGCCACTGAGTATTAGCACTTTTAAGTCAATAAAGAAACTAAATGCTTAACGTACAGACCATGGAGAGTAAAATACGAAAAACCTGCGGGAAAACTGAACTCCAGGGATTTAATGCTTAAGCTTGTCCTCCAAAAAACGCTCGAATTTCTGGCTTCCATGTGTAGTGGCGACCGCGATTTTTTAACAGGAAATTATTAGAGTGACATTGTTATTGTTTCAGCTTTCAGTAGGCTTATCTAAGCCACAGTAAACCCTCTATAAGGCGGGGTCAACCCCAGCTTCCCGTCTTCGGAATATTTTCGGGTTTTAGATAGTCAAAAATCCCATTACACCGTCCAGTAGTTCTGACTAAATAAAGCTGGACTTTGGCAAAATATATAAACACGAGAAAAGTGAGAGTTTAACATATTTGTATATCACTGGTTAAAAAAAAGATAAATCTCTCCACAATGTACTGGAAGCTGAACCAATAACAATGTAATAATTTCCCGCCATAAGAACGCGGTTACAACTGGCAGTTGACTCAAATCGTGTTCAGTTTGGCTTTGTGATTCGTTTCTTTGAAATATGCAAACAATACGCGGCATAAGTTGAATTCACCCAGGAGGCAAAAGAGGTTGCAAAAAAAGTGTTTGGTAAGGTAAGTTTGCGAAAGGATAATATAAAGCAGAACAGTAAGTTCAGTGGATCGATAGAGAAGTTAAATTTTGTGGTCGACAGACATAACACCATTTTTTCTTCATAATGGACTTGTGCAGTTTTCATAAGCCATGGTTTTGCTTTTCTTTGCTTTTTGATTGGTCAAAAAAAAATCACGACTTCCCGCGCTTCAAAGAGTTCCCTTGCTATAACTCTGCGCTTTCGTTACTCTTTCAGATATCTCCATTTTACTTTGAATATCTTCTCTAATAGCTTTGGTTTGGTTTGGCCGAAATATCCTTTACTTACACAATATTAAAGTAATAACATGGAACCTTGACCAAAGGGTTTTTAAAGCATCCTTTGCTTACCCAGTATAGCCGCCATTGTATGCAGTGACCTGGGGTTGAATTGTCCGAGTGCTAAACTTGTTTACCGGCGAAGGCCGACGAACTCCTCTCATGCCACGAAATGCTGTACCTGAAAAACACAGTTACTTACGGTCATTATCTCTCTCATAAACTGTTTTTTCAATTTATTGGTGTTTTAGAACACAAAAGTTCGATATAGATGACACTTTTTGAACGTGGAAGTAGATATCAGAGAAGCACGCCGAATAAAAGTTTGATTGTGTGATCAGTTATAACTTTTGCTCTGGAAGAAAGACTACATGTTAAAGGAGCTCATTGGCTCTTCATTCAAACATTACAGTGCAAAAAAAGTGAAATCCAAACTTGGCACTTTAATGAGAAACCTAACTGTACTTGGAGCAACATAACTTTGCCAAAACTACCTACAAATTGCAGGATGGATGAATTGCAGACTTCAGACAAAAAGATCCAAAGCAAAAATACAACCTTATTCAGTCATACAGAAAACTTGCAACAAAACCTCTCTTGAACGTCATAAAACCAACTTTAAAAATGTTAAAACTCATATGTGCGAAGTAAGCCCGCTTTTTTGATAACCTTTGGCTTAATGATGAATCGCTTACGACTTTTTGACGTACAAAATCTACATAATAACAATTTTAATTTGTCAAGCCAAAGAGTCATGTTCCAAGTAAATTTAGTACTGTAGAATAAATACCTTACCAAAATTTTAACTGCTAAAACAGATATGATAACAAAGGAAATAAAAATATGACAAATTTACACTAATATTTGGCAGACATTTTACTCCTGAAGAATCGAACCTTTTACTGCATACAACTCATACTTATCTGCCAAATCAGTACTCCATACAGGAGGACACATGCAATCTCTTACACACAGAACATGCCACTACAGATCAATGAAACGAGAAGGGGAACAAAGCATGCTGTACCATTGGTTAAGGGTCCTCGATTTTGGCCCGGACTTTTTTTGGCGTGCGGTCGAGGGGTTGCATTGTTTACCTAAGTGAAAAATTATCAGTGTCAATGTGGAATCATGCACACATGCAGGAACAAAAAGTGGAGTACATAAAAGTGGAATGCAAACAAGTAAACTACACTTCACAAAAATTAGATTCCAACCTCTATTTTTCTTCCATCCACAATAGTTCCATTCAGTTTTTCCCTTGCTTTCATTGCATCAGCAGAATTCACAAATGTCACAAATCCAAAACCCTAAAAAATACAGTTCATGATCATTTTTCAAGTCATCATTTTATTGTTTCTGATTAGTTCAAAATAGCTAGAACATTAACATTGGGTCTTTTTTTAAAATAACTTGCTTGGGAGGGTTGATGACTCTGAAGGTGCTACTACATCCACAGCTTTTTTTTTTTTTTTTTTTAAAGTAAATTAAGGATGTGCACATTGAGGACACAAGTAAACTCTTACTTCTTGGGTTCACATTCCTTAAACAACCCTATACCCAAAAAACTTTTATTCAGCTTGAGATGAATGACGTACAGGAAAAAAAAATGTCTG